TATTCCAACATGGCTTGGAATCCACTGAATTTTTATTGTGGCTCTGGCTTCACTGAACTTGCGGCGCATATCATTCATGCCCGAGCTGTTGCCCAGCTCTGATGATGATGATGATGGTGATGATGATGATGATGATGATGATGATGATGGCTCCCTTGCAACACCTCTAATCTTTTGTGTTGCAAGTTCTCTGAGCCAGCATGAATATTCTTTGTTTTCTGGTTAACGGCCACAACCCTTCTCCCAGCTTGCTTTGTGCTTGGGTTTTTTTCATAATGACACTGCCCAAGAAGATCACCTTTCTGAAATGATCACGACTTTTCTCCTCGACAATTCACTACCTTCAGAATTACAAAGTTCTATCTGAAAATCTTCGCCGTTTTGATTTACATAACTTAATATGAGGTGAACATACACGTTTTGATAAGGGGAACGATTCTTTTTCCGCCATCGACACAGTTTAGTTATTGCAAGGGGCCAACCATTGTTTAATGGAGTACAGCATCTCAGCAGCCAGACTACGACAATTCGTTACCTTAGAATTACAAAGTTTTGACTGGCATTTTTGGCCGTTTTGAGTTACTGAGACCAAGGGGTAAGAAATCATATTATGTTCTATCTGCTCTATCAAAATCGTAAGCTTTTTCATAGTCGTTACCAAGATATTTTAAGGATTTCAATTTTTAAAAGTTTGAAATAACAATAAGGTGGAGCTCAATACTTTCGACGTCCAATTTCTCAAAACTAGGTACTGAGCACAGAGAACATAGTAATTCAAAGGTAGCGAAATAGTGGCAGTCTCAGACATTTCCTATAGTAGAATGATCCTCACTATTACATAGTGCCCACTACGGATGGGATCAGCCGATAGGGCCGATCGCCTGACTCGATCGCCTCAATAACAAACGTGTTTGTTTTCAGTTTCAGGCGATCGAGTCGGGCCATCGAGTCGGGCGATCGGCCCGATCCAACCGTAGTGGGCATCCCGTATTAGACAGAGCGACATATCTGCACTTTTTATTATTTTGAGTTATGTCGCACAGCCATTGAAAATATGGGCATGGACCTTCAGTTATGTCTGTGTGCCATAGTAAAATATACTATTTGTAGTGCAGATACGCCTTTCTGCCTTTGACACAAGATACAGAATGGGTATAGGCGTCCATTGAAACGAAGATGTAAAAGTTAATATTTTTTGCAGATATACGTTAGTCTACCTTGGCGCGGCAGAGTGATTCTCACTACGACTTACCTTTTGGAGATGTGCTTGTTTCCATTAGCATCGTTGACCACAGTGTTCAGACAGTAGGGTGCATCGCTAGTACACTGGTGTACCGCCTCGAATTCATCACACAAGGGGTCGGAGCACACACGGCACTTCACTGGAGAAAGTCAGCTCTTTTTGTTTATTGGACTGTGCGCTCCACATTGGGAGTGTTATACTATTACAGAATAATGACTTTGTAAAAATTTTTAAAAAGTTGTTTTGGTTACAAGCAGCGCAGATTGCTTTAAGAGATTTGAGAAGAAGAAGAAGAAGAAGAAGAAGAAGAAGAAGAAGGAGGAGGAGAAGGAGGAGGAGGAGGAGG